CTAGCCATCTCAAAGCTCGGTGGTCGAGCGCGAGAATGGGCACTGACGTGCGGCACATTGGTCGAAGCTGCGTTTCCCTCCTTAGCGGGGCTGAAATTGCAGCTCTCAGAGTAGTCTCGCCGACTAATCAGGTGTATCGCGTTCGATCGCGTTGCCTTGCCGCCCGACAGGGCAATAAGAAATTGGTGGACTTTGTTCAAGAGATGCGCACTGTCATTGCCGGGATGACAGTAGATTCCCTCCCGGAGGCGGTAACAGTGACCGTCTTTATGGAAGGCCTCGCAATGGCGTGGCCAGAATGGAAGTATTCCGTGTGCATCCGTCCTCATTTCAAGAGGCGGTGAATGTGGTATCGAATGCCGAATTCAATTTCAAGTCGGCACGACTTGGTTGTAATGCACCCTCCAACAGCTCGTCGAGCGGTCCTGTGCCCATAGATCTCAGCTATGCTGAGGACGGGGGAGCAGAGCTCCAAGCTGCCGGGCAGCATACACACATTCGACGATGTTCTGTCTGTGGAGACACCCGTCACCATCGGAACGGTTGCACCCTGTGAAAGGCGCGTCAAGGTTCTTCGAACCATCGCCCCAATGCCTACCGGTCTGGTTCGTCGCGGGGAAACGACACCACTCAGTAGGCGCGGGGCGACCTACTGGGGAAGAACTGAATTTTGTTAAGCCTCAGGGGGGGCATTGGTCAACAGGGTCCAGCCCCGAAGAGCTCCGTTTCCTTAAACGCGGAATGTGTGTGCAAGCCGGGCTTGATGGTCGTGGAGGCGATCGTAAAGGGCATTGAGAAGCCATGGAAGATCCTCATCAATTCTGGGGCGTCGGGCAATTATGCTCGATACTCCACGATGGAAGGAAGTCAGCTGTATCAGAGGCGCTGAAAGCGTAGTTCGGTGACATCGCCACCGTTCAACCAGCGACGGGGACGCATGTCCAGTTCCGAAGGTCCCTGTGGTTTTCGGGGTCAAGTTTCCTGACTTTGAGCGTGGAAAGCTGTCTAGGCTTTGACTTGGATGCAATGTATGACCTCATCCTAGGAATGACATGATTGAAACACCATGAGCTATGGATTGATTAGAGGTCAAAGACCTTGGGCGCTACGCGCACGTCTCCTGGTGGAGATTTGGCGGGTCATAAACCCACCTATGCTAGGAGACAAAAGTGCTATTGGCGAGAGTACTGGACCGAGACAGTCAACGTGCTAGACACTGGGATGTCCGAGCTGGTAGACACCAACGGTGCATTGGACAGGAGTCTCGAGCCTGGCTCACAAGCTGTTCGTGGGGTGGCACTTTACCCACTGAGCGCTGCTCAACTTTCGGAGCAGTCGCTGCATGTAATGCGTGACATGGTCGGCCAAGGGCCGCGGCATCGCGGGCAAGGCCCTCGTGATGCACGTAAAGTTGCACGTAAACCACTGAGCACTGCTCTCGTTGCGACGCAGTCATTGATGGCGTGGTCGGACAGAGGCATCTTGAGCACGGCCGTTCAGATGCGCGGAGAGTGGCACGTTATCCACTGGACTAAGACTGCGGGGTTAGCAGTTCTTCGTCGGAAGTTGTAGATAAGCTCAGAGCTCCAAAGGAGCGGAAAGTGAGGGTGACATCGGACGACGCGGAGTGCGTGTTCACCCTGGTCTCACCAAGCTATAGAACATCTGTACAGAGGCGACGGCGACGTCGAATGTTGGCTGCAAGACGCCGGGCGTCGACCCTCATCCAGGGTGTGTCAACCGTCGCCGATGGTGCACCGTTATACACCTCGTCGACGGTATGACGGGCGAGGAAGATGGAGACGGCCGCCGCGAGGCTATGCCTGTAGTTGATACTCTTCTTGAGCTAGACGAGATGTTCCTTGAAGAATTTAGCAGTGCCTTGAAGGCAGGCGATTTGGCTGAAGTGGTCATTGTACGATGGGACGAGGAGATAAACTTGCGTATA